TGGTTTACATACAAAGGAGTCTAACAATGCCTGCTTATAATCACGACAATTGAAAGATTTACGTTCCTGCAACCTTGAAACAACAATTATTTCTAAAGAGGATTTATTCAATGACTAGAAGAAGCTATTTTCAAGAGGATCACGGGATGCTTGCAACAGCAACAAGGAACCATCGTAAATTGTTCTTCGTTGAATAAAGATGGCAGGTCATATCTTACAAATCTGGTACACAACAGGTTAATGACTAGTTCAGAACTGTACGAGACAAGAATTTGTCTGAATTCGTCAAACTTCAACATGCGAAAATCTGCTCTTATCTGACGAAGGATCATTACAAACATCCATCATGCCTTCTTGATTTCTTCACAATTTATCAAACTAGTCCAAATGAAATTTCTTAACCACATTCTACTGTTGATTCACTTATATAATCAATAGTTAAGGTTTATTAGGCATGCGGCCGACATGCGGAGATTTCCATCAGTAGCCGTAAAAATCTCTTATGTCAATAATTCCTCACTACTCCATCATTTTTACAGACAACTGTCATATTTTTTTCATTGATTTAAGAAAAGTTTTTCACTCATCTCTACACACTCCAACAATATTTCATACGTATTTATGCTTTGGTCAGGCTTAAACACATCAATCTCCGACCTAGGAAGGCTTTACCGAAACAGCGAGCAAATATCGAATTGCACTTCCTCTGATGCTAATAGAGAGTTTGAATACATGTATATGCTCCCTAATGCATTTAAACGTGTGAAACATGTTTTAGTTTTATTAAGTTCATTTACAGTACTTGATATATAATGTATTTTATTTCTGTTTTATCCACTGAATGTATTTAACCTCCAATAAGCACAAGGGACAAAAATATGCTGACTTTAACTTAACTTTAGTTTGGGACAAGTTGAGCATCAATTGGCAAGTCTTCTAAACAACAGCAATATATGTTGTTGAGCCTATTACCAAGTTTGGTGTGGTTTTATTGATGCTTTACGTCATATTAACAGCCAGGGTCATTTAAGGACGTGACAGGTTTGGTCGGTGGAGGAAATCCGGAATTCCCGGAGAAAAATCACAGATTTGCAGCCAGTACCTCCGGGCCACTGCCTCACACAGGCCTGGAACCTGTGACCCCGAGATGGAGGGCTAGTCTTAACAACAATGGTGAGCCTGTTACCAAGCATGAGCTAAATGTAGGGGAAATATTATGATACAATCATCTATGCATTGCTACATGTTCAATTTGTAAAATTATTGTTGTCATTTCATCCTCAATTTCAAACACTTCTGATCCAATTATATATTTTATTTTTTTTATTTTGATATATCAGTATGAACACCCCAATCCATACCAAATAAAAGTTTCAATTTCTATGGAAGTTTAATTTTTCATTCACTTTACAATCATAATGATAAGTTGATACCAGATAAGTCTGATCTTCTATTATTCTTTTTCTCTACTTCTTTCTTCATTCCTCCTCTTTAGCTTTTAAAATTTCAATAGACATAGATTTACTGTTTCATGAAAGACGAAGTACTTCTGGGGTATTTGCCCAAACAACAACTGGCCATCAGTCAGACATCGTCAGTCCAAGAAAGCATCATACACAATCTTCAAAGAAACCATAAGAAGCCTACATGTCAAATTTGAGAAAGAATTTCCTTATCTCTTGTGAACGAAAATTATAGCCAGACCTAATAGGTACATTACAGTTTATAGATAGAATAGAAAAATTTTGCTAAATTTTACATCAATCTCATGATCAGTAAGATGATATAAGGATGTGTGTAGTACAATTTGATTTCAATTGTTGATTACTGTGATATTTTGAAAGGGCAGATTGTGAACTGTAGACTATTTATAGACTCGCAAATATTTCAATTCTTCAAAACCCAAATGGAGACAATGTTGGTATGAAAAGAATATCAACTATCTTTAGCCAAACACTGTAATGTGAGACTCATCACTATTACTTAATACTACATGTACTATGACATCATCGTTTCTATGACGTCATCAGTGTATTTCAGTGATAATACATAAAGATCAAAATTAACAGCACTAATGCTAAACACTTATATGAACTTGTTTTCAGTCTAAAATGAAAAGGGAGCATCAGATAATCTTAATAAAGTTAAATCTATTTCTTCTTTAATTATCTGTCTGTGAGATGAACTGGAAATTATCATAACGAGTCTGGTCCAGACAACCGGTGATTATGGGAGTTGCATCTATATCTGTAGTGCACCTTTAATAGGAAAATCGGTTAACACGGCAGGGCTGCGACAGAAGATGGTGTATATTGATCCTCTTATCAACGGAGCTGTTAATTGCTGATAAAAGACAATGTAAAACTCGTAACATCAAGTGATTCTAGGGGAGACAGGCCGTTATCAGCAGAGTGCAGCATGGTACAGTCGATGATTCTATGCGAAGCGTTCAATGAAAGCCAATGTCCAAGTTATACTCATCTGTGTGTTCGGCAGATGCTGTAGCGTACTTGCTGTTTGTTTGTCCTCCTTATACCTCACAATCCATTTACGTCACATCTCGTGGAAAAACCAGAGATCATTTCACCAGTCATAAGAAAGGCTGGTGTACATTTCCAAATATAAAGATGAAGATTTAAAGACTTTATAACTTACTCTATATATCTGGCAGCAAGCTCATGCCTGGTAATAAGCCCACCCCATGACTTTTTTTTTATCACACTGTTTATCATTCTCTCTAAGACTTGTGATGTTAAAAAAATTGTATGATAGTTTCTTAAAGCTTTCATGTATAGCTAAACAATGGTGGTTTGAGAAAAATTTTTTTTTCCCAAAATTCTTTTTTTTTGGCAATAGGTCACTTGCTGTTTATTTCAGTAACACTATGGAAAAGTATACATTGAGATGACACAGATCAAGCCAAGGCAATTGTTAAATTCAGGTCAATTAAGATAAGGTTCAACTGTAGTAAGAAGCAAAGATAACAACAAAATTGACTATGCATTATTAATTTATTTACGAACTTAAACCGATCATTAACAGCTTGTTACAATGTTAATTTATTTATATCCTCATGATGAACACAGTTCACAGATATTTACAGTTGAAGCAAAAACAGCAAGATATTCAAGAAAAATTTACATCTGAACTTTTCATTGAAAGACACAAATTTTTCAAACCACAACATTTATCTCTTCCTGCAGTTTTTTTGTTTCAATTACAACACATTTTTTATTGTATTATGAAATTTATCACATTTTGCTATTAGTGGATAACTGAATATTGAATATACAAATTATCTTCAGGAAATGGATTATTTAGACAGGAAAATCACAGGATGGACTTGACCAGTTGACATCTCAACTTCTGGTCACAATGTCAGTCTTTTGATAAAAAATAAAGAGACTGCAAAGGGAGACAACAATGAAGTGAATCCGGACTGGAGAAAAAAAAAGTTCCGTGACATGGTAATGCTGACAGTTGATCTTGCTCTTAGTATTTCCCCTAGTTCAGATTACAGCTAAACCTGTCTATAAAGGCCACTCAAGGCAGCAGAAAGACAATGACTGACAGATATTCATTTATAACAAAAATTGTACTATGAATAGTAATTCATTGGAAGTCAGAAAAAGAGGCCTCTATAGACAAATAAACAGGTTCAATAATTATGACTTGTCTTAACAAATGACTTATATACATGCATCTGTTATACAAAGGTGGTCTTTATAGACAAGTATGTTATATGGAGATGTTCTTTATAGACAAGTATTTGTTATATGCAGGTGTTCTTTATAGACAGGTAATTGTTATATAGAGGCTGTCTTTATAGACAGGTATTTGTTATATGGAAGTGGTCTTTACAGACAGGTGTTTGTTATATAGAGGTGGTCTTTACAGACAGGTGTTTGTTATATAGAGATGTTCTTTATAGACAAGTATTTGTTATATGCAGGTTGTCTTTATAGACAGGTGTTTGTTATATAGAGGTGGTCTTTACAGACAGGTGTTTGTTATATAGAGGAGGTCTTTACAGACAAGTGTTTGTTATATAGAGGTGGTCTTTACAGACAGGTGTTTGTCATATAGAGGTGGTCTTTACAGACAAGTGTTTGTTATATAGAGGTGGTCTTTACAGACAAGTGTTTGTTATATAGAGGTGGTCTTTACAGACATGTGTTTGTTATATAGAGGTTGTCTTTATAGACAGGTGTTTGTTATATAGAGGTGGTCTTTACAGACAGGTGTCTGTTACAGAGGGCCTCAGTTCATATCTAACAGTACAGACACCAATGAAGAGATTGTTTAGTACATTATATGTAACATCATGCCCTATATCTGTGTGTAGACAATCTGTGAAAGCACCCAAGCCAAACGAGTTTGATATTTGCTGTTTTATGTTTTTTTAAATACAAATTGCAAACTTTATTAAAAGTTTCACTGACGATCAGATGATAATTTGCCCCTGCTGTCTGTTACATCAGCAAACTTTGTCAGCGTAACGGATACAACTTCGTAAGAATTGCCTCTCGTTATCGTTAACTGGTATATCACACATCAACAATTAATAGTGGTCACTATATCATAAGGGTGCTTCTTGTATACCGATGTGGCTTATAACCCAGAAATCCAGAAGCATTAACTCTTCCCCATTACTGAAATACAAGATAGTTATCTAAAACTTTGTTACAAGCCCTGTAAGTTACCGGGTCAATTTCTGTTCTTTGAATAACCAATATACACCTATAAAACTAACACTTCTAGTATTATAACAAACTTCAAGAAAAGACTCCCTAAACAGGGCGTGGATTTCAAAGCCAATCCAAAAAGGGCATATGTGAAAAGGGACTGTAAAAAAGTATACACTACTACTGTATATCATTCTACTGAGGAAAAGGATTTCAAGTTATTGCTAATCCTTGTTAATGAAATTATTTCATTAATTAAAAAGCTAAAGTAGGATCCCATCTCCATTACTAAAATAATCCAGACAGCCCCATGCCAATCATAAAATTCTTTCCCGAGCACCAAACACATTTTGTCTGTTGTCAAATGAAGTTGCGTTCCAAAGGAATGAAAAGCTATATTGAAACCCACTAATCAGAATTCTGTCCATCAGATTAATAAGTACACAATCTTTGTTTTCATTTCTAGATATTGAAATGTAATCCTGAATTAACAGATCCGTGTGATCCTGATGGTGTTTCGCTACAGGTTGACAGACTCGGCCCTCCAAACAACGGAGGTCTTACGTGTCCATTCAGTAACTCTGTCTTCTCATTCTCCTCAACAGAATCTGGAAGTCAAATCACAAAAATATGTGTTCAAAACCATATCTGATTTACATTACACCTTTAAAAATACACCATATCAGAATTTAAACAGCTTGAAATTCAAAACTATAATGACATTATTGAAAGTAAACTATTAAATCTTCAAAAGGTAAAAACTTTAAATCACGCTGTTTATCTAAAATTCTTCCATTTACACATCTTAATTTACAGATCCGAGGATCCCATTAGAGGTCCCAGCAGTATTCACTTACTATAAAACATGGGGGAAGACTGGATACCGTGTTTATCTTGATATAGGCTCAGGGGTCAGCAATCACACAAGTTCTTACTTACAAAACCAGTGAATAGGGTATGTGGACAAACCCATTTGTATTTGGTTTGAATGTAACATTCAGAAACATCATGATGGACCGACACACGTTACTTGATATTGGCCAAGAAAGTCTCCATCAGCGGTTGTCAGATAGCAAAAGGTGATCTGTAGGTCCATCCTAAATTATATTTCATAAACATAGGCCAAGAAAGTCCTTATCAGCGGTTGTCAGAAAGCAAAAGATGATCCGTAGGTCTATCCTAAATTATATCTTATAAATGCATAACCTCTGTCCCAACGGTCAAACCAATGAATAGTAATGACCATGATGACCCAACGGGCAAACTTGTATCAATATTTTGGATAATAGTACTGTAGCTACATCACATGCATCAGCAAACAGCAAAGGTCGCAGCAAAGGTCACAGCAAAGGTCACAATGAAGGTTACAACAATCATGTGCAACTACTTGTACAGGAACAATAATAATATTTTAAAAAACAATAAAAAGTAGAGCATGTTATATTAGTGTATACAAGGACAGGACAATATATTTCACAAAAGACTCCTATCAGCAACATTTATTGGCAAAGTAAACGGTTCATGCTATACCATGTGTTTTACGATAATGAAATAAATTTCAAAACTCCCATGGGTAATTGTAACCCATTCATCTGTAGTTATTTCAAACTAACATTTCTATGAGAAATATATCAGAACAAAAAGGTACACAAATTGTCTCGAGAGGTTTCCAAAGATTAATCACTTCCCTTCTTACAGTCGTTTTACTCATCACAGTAAGTTATTGATATGTTTTAATGGTAAAAGAAATGTACTACTTGATTCATCACCAGTTTTATACCATTACCAAAACAAGTACTGAACATGTAAGGTATTCGTTACTATCTGTCATGTTGAATACTTTGTTGATCATAAATTAGGTAAACAAGATATTTCAACACAACGTAAAAAAAATGGAGTTGTTATTTTCACGACGTGGATAAAATTTTAATTAAGAAACGTATCCAGTGTTATGACTTGTGTAGAAATAAAACTTATTACTTCTTTTTTTAAGCTTTAAAACTTCCCTGAATTGCTTTAATTTCAAAATTTGCACCAAGTTATATTGAGTTTTTATCACATGGAATAAATGGATCAATAAAGACTTCTTTATTTAATCCACCAACTCTAAATTATCCATTTATATCCGTAAGGATACCACTTCAATCCATAACTTTGATATATCCTAATAGACTTCAATACCTTTCTAGTAAACCGTTCTTTATAGTTGAAAAGCACATGGCCACAATGACGTCATGAAAAATTACCTTATTTACCTGACAATAAGCCAAAACATGGTAATAAGTCCACCAATATCTATTGCTGTTCACAGAACTAAAAACGACCTTTCCACTATCCTGTAATAAGCACATCCAAGACAAGATCAAAGGTTAAGTGATACAAAGTTGATACTTGTCAAGGTGGTCAGTGCTGAAGGCAGAAACACAATGCTAAAGCAACATAATTAAATTTTGCATGGCAAAGATAAAACCTTTTAAAAAGAATTCTATTTATAGTAACGGTGATCTTGATGTTTACTTGGTAACTCTCAATTACAAATTTTTCTGAGATAATATGGACCTGATGAAAACTTCATTGCTTGATAATTAAACTTGCAGAAATTGCATTTTATAGAGCAAGGACAAGGAATTGGCAGGCGTGATTCTATATAAAGTAACAGTGACCTAATTATAGCACTAACTATTATCAACTACTTGATGTTTTGAACTGAAAACACATTTATTGTTTGGTAATAATCAGTGTGAAGTTATTCTTGGTATTGTTTCTGAAACGGACATACAGACAGATAAAATAACACTGGGACAGAATTATACATATGTACCATGCCATTTTAGATCATTTTAGAGACTGCTTTTACTTGCCAGAAATCTTTTATCAGAAGGATTATTAATGCCAGAACAATGATTAGTGTTGGTTGATTTAGGAAGTGGGACTGACCATAAAGGGGCCCTAGAAACAAGTTTGGGGATGTGAACAGTGAGGAGGGGGCCTAGAGATATAGACTCTGTTACCTGAATGCTAAAAAGGAAATTTCTGAGAAGCATCAGTGTAGTTCACATATTCCAGAAATCCCTGGATTTATGTTGTAAACAGGAAGGACATTGATAAAGGATACCAAAAAAAAAAAAAAATCGGTGAGACATTGATCAATCCCTTATCCTCTACTACCACCCTCGCTACACATTACCATACAAATACACAGAACATGTGATGAAATCACCAGCTTTGTAGCCAAACCTTGCCTCACAGGGGACTATCAACTTAAAGGCCGTTTCTGATAGATGAATGATGATGTCAATTATCCATCACACAATGCTGACATTTCCATACTCTCCTATACCATTGTGCGGGAAATTCCATTTGTAAGCAATAGATGGACACCTAAATAAAGCATATGATCAGATTTACATCGTTAATATTGACACATCAAGGTTAAATCTTCCTGACATTTCTGTCCTCAGAGATTCGTAAAATATCCCTTGTTATTAAGTTCAATACTGGTTTTTTAAATAAAGAGCCTAACATACAGATGAAAGGTGAGCTCTTCTTGACCTTTCTACCTTTAAACAATTTAGATATATAAACTTTGACATAAACATTTACTTATTGGATGGTGTTTTCTTGAGAAATTCCTTTTGTTTCCTTCCACCTTCAGGTGATAAAAATTCCTATTATCTACAAGACATGAGATAGCAGATCACAAAATCTGTCTTCCTGTTTTCACACACACAACTGGTGATACAATTAAGAATATAAACAAGATCTCGACATTCTTTTTTAGTTCTTTAGCATAAGAAAATTACAAATTTGATTGAATTATAAGACTAGTGTCCCTCCCCCCTCTAGATTTTGACATTTCTTTCTATAAATTCTGGTTTCTCTCAGTCACCTCCTGGGCTTCAAGATTTAGGTCCTTAGCATCACTGACGAGTCCTAGAAGAAGAAACAGCTCTACCATACATTCATTTGGACTATGAATGCCAAATAAAATATTTGTGTTGTTTTATCCTTTAAGAAGTAGGGCCAGATATATCAAATCACATATTTTTGGGAATACAAGCAATATTTCCAGTTTGGCATTCATTTCGACTATCAAAGCCAATTTTTTTCCCCCTGTTGTTCTAAATTTTTGCTATGTCAGTAAATTTTAAAAGTTTGCAAGACTGATTTTTCCTACTATTGATGTGCAGAAATATGAAATATTACAAAACAGGTTATGTAGTTCAAGATTGTCTGGTGAATTCCAACCTCAAAAGAAAAGTGAAAATCATCTTTTTTAAAGTTAAATTTGCAGCTTTTAATCAGATATTAGATTGTTTTTGGAGTCAGTATAAAGTCTGGACATAACACCTATTAATACAGTGCATTATCAACATGGGATTAACTATTAGTTTAAACTATACTTAACAAATAATAAATGGTTTGTATCAGTGGCAGATATGTCAGGTTTCAATGATATATGGTAAATTAGGGGTGAAAAGATTTGTCAAGATTTGTTCTTATTTCGTATTTGTTTAAATACAAACCAAAATCTGCTACAATTTGATAATTAGTACTAAAATTCATTTCAATTTAAAATGCAATGCATAGCACATCATTTTTTTTTTTTTTTTTTTTTTTAAGTTTTGAATGCCTCTGTAAGATATATTGTAAATTTGTTTCATAAATCTCAAATGAAACTGGAAGCTCATTACAATCCTTTCTCTGTGTAGGAGGCATATAATCTCACAACATCCACCTACAACTCCGTAAGCCGAGAGATTGTGTTTGATCTGGATTGACAGGCCATCACATAAACCTTGGACATCTGTGTGTGACAGTCAAGACAAGTCCAGACTCTTAGGGTATTAACCGACTTGAAGCATTGCAAATCCATGTAAACAGGCTTAATCAGGTACAACAACCCACTTGTAGACTGAAAAACAATTAATGCTGAAATACTATCTAGAACCATTGTTTCAAGCTTTGTCAGCTTCTGGTTAACTTACATACAATCTTATCAGGAATTTTATCTAACTCTGAAAGAGGGGGATGGGTGGGGTTGATGAAGATGTTCTGACAATTGCAAACAAAAGAAAATAAAAATATATGCAAGTCTCGAAATCCCCCACCCCCTATAATTAGGTAATGGTTTGTAAAACTTTTCAAAGATTTTGACCAAAATGTGTAAAGCATCATTTTCTATTGTATCGCGCAATTGTAAAAATGAATCTCCATATAAACGATGGAAAACCCATCAAATTATTCTTTTTACTTTGACTGAAAGCAAATTTACACTTTCAACCTACAAAATGATGTTATATAGCTGTCTCATTCAATACCGTAGCTCTCTGTTTCTGTATTTTCTTTCTAAATTGAAGAGGCTTGTATAACTAAAACCAACTGTTGATCAGCAAACAAAGGAATGGTTTATTCCCAGAATGGATTACTGTAATGGTGACACACCAACAGAAAGCTTTTCATACACTTTGATCTCGGGACTAAATGACATCATAATATTTCATAGCTTCTCTCAGTTGATATAAATGCATTTATGTCCCTCTCCCTCCTCCTCTATTTTCAATGCTGGAGTCATATAAGAGAAATCAGATACCTAGGTATTTTGTGCTTCAATGTTTTGGTAAAACCACAAAAAATTAAACCATTGAGAAAAAGTCCTGAATGACAATACATTCTCTCTTACTTAAAGTAAGGGGATGGGCATGTTACAGGACCACAGAAAGCCAACACAATTCCTCTTACTTAAAGTAAGGGGATGGGCATGTTACAGGACCACAGAAAGCCAACACAATTCCTCTTACTTAAAGTAAGGGGATGGGCATATTACAGGACCACAGAAGGCCAACACAATTCCTCTCACTCAAAGTAAGGGGATGGGCATATTACAGGACCACAGAAGGCCAACACAATTCCTCTGACTCAAAGTAAGGGGATGGGCATGTTACAGGACCACAGAAGGCCAAAACAATTCCTCTTACTTAAAGTAAGGGGATGGGCATGTTACAGGACCACAGAAAGCCAACACAATTCCTCTGACTCAAAGTAAGGGGATGGGCTTATTACAGAACCACATAAGGCCAACACAATTCCTCTGACTCAAAGTAAGGGGATGGGCATATTACAGGCCACAGAAGGCCAACACAATTCCTCTGACTCAAAGTAAGGGGATGGGCATATTACAGGACCACAGAAGGCCAACACAATTCCTCTGACTCAAAGTAAGGGGATGGGCATATTACAGGACCACAGAAGGCCAACACAATTCCTCTGACTCAAAGTAAGGGGATGGGCATATTACAGGACCACAGAAGGCCAACACAATTCCTCTGACTCAAAAGTCAGGGGATGGGCTTATTACAGAACCACAGAAGGCCAACACAATTCCTGTCTAAAATCAAACACCTGTAGTAATTAATTCCTTTTGAACTAATCCTGTGATGTTTCCAGGGGTCCAGAAACCAAGTACCTAAAACTGAAGACAAGAGAGTGTGAGCTGTACAAACCTCTACTTGATTACATTTTGACAATTTTAAAGTAAAAATGTTGTGGAAAAAATTAAACAAAGGCAGCCAAATTTTTTTCTCCAATTTCAATTCCTGATGTAATGTCCATGTCCGTATTGATAGCAAAATCAATTTCTGACCGCAGCCAACAAACTTCCCACCAGGACATACTGCACTAGTCACACATACTCAAAAATATTACATGGGTCAAATCATTGAATAACAAGAGGATTGTGTGATTTAACAGTATAACAGCTATATCTTCAAAACACTAACAATGTTTTCTTTTCTTTTTTTTTCAAGACAATAGGTTACCAATAGACCTTTGGAATTAGTCACAAATGACATGGAACATTGTCCATGAGCTTTAAAGAGATGTTATGTAATTACATATTAATCAGATTAAAAAAATAGAAAGATTTACCAGGGCTCAAATTTAGGTGCTGTGTTAATGCCAACCACCTTCAGAGAAGTCATTACCTACAGATAATATCTTGCACACTAAATATCTTCAATTCTTTCATTCTAGGGAACAACAAATGAAATGAAAGAAAATAAAAGAGAACATTTGATATGTTTTAGTATTCTTTACCACCAAGAGTATCAACAGAAAGACATTTTAAACTAAAATCCAAACTACACGACCAGACCGAGTTTACCGTGTCAGGATAGAGCAAACATTCCGACATCAATTCTATAATTTATTAACAGAATAGCTCATTTCATCAATCACGTTCACAAATATCCTTGACATTTGATAGAAGATTTTATAGGAAAAAAAAATTTTAATTGTATTAATGGAACAGAATCCCGTATCATAGCAAATTCAAATGACTTTGGCATTAAGTATTAATAAAAGGTCAGGTATTTCTTTAAGAACAAATGGATTAAGAACAGGATTACATCAATATTGTGGCACCAAATGAAAACCAATGTATTGTATTTTGCTCTGATTTGGCACCACAAAACTTGGAAATTTGTATTGTTACTTCAGAATGCAGGTTAAGCTATCATCGAAAAAGGGTCGATTTCCGTGATCTACCCACACTATCACAAAACACAGGGCTGTCATCAAACACAAACACATTGAAACTACAAGGACACATAATAATGAATGTGAATTATCAAAGTCTTGTCATCTTCATGTCATCCTTTAGTCATGAAAGACTTAAATGGTGTGTAGTGTTTACTGGTGGGAGGTATCACATCAGGTAAATATCCCTTAGTTATGAAAGACTTAAATAGTGTGTAGTGTTTACTGGTGGGAGGTATCACATCAGCTAAATATCCCTTAGTTATGAAAGACTTAAATAGTGTGTAGTGTTTACTGGTGGGAGGTATCACATCAGCTAAATATCCCTTAGTCATGAAAGACTTGAATAGTGTGTAGTGATTACTGGTGGGAGGTATCACATCAGCTAAATATCCCTTAGTTATGAAAAGACTTAAATAGTGTGTAGTGTTTACTGGTGGGAGGTATCACATCAGGTAAATATCCCTTAGTTATGAAAGACTTAAATAGTGTGTAGTGTTTACTGGTGGGAGGTATCACATCAGGTAAATATCCCTTAGTTATGAAAGACTTAAATAGTGTGTAGTGTTTACTGGTGGGAGGTATCACATCAGCTAAATATCCCTTAGTCATGAAAGACTTAAATAGTGTGTAGTGTTTACTGGTGGGAGGTATCACATCAGGTAAATATCCCTTAGCTATGAAAAGACTTAAATAGTGTGTAGTGTTTACTGGTGGGAGGTATCACATCAGGTAAATATCCCTTAGTTATGAAAGACTTAAAAAGTGTGTAGTGTTTACTGGTGGGAGGTATCACATCAGGTAAATATCCCTTAGTTATGAAAGACTTAAATAGTGTGTAGTGTTTACTGGTGGGAGGTATCACATCAGGTAAATATCCCTTAGTTATGAAAGACTTAAAATAGTGTAATGTTGACTAGTAGAAGTCAGAATTCAGGTTCCAAAAGACTTAAATATATATAGACACATAAAGAAACAAACTTTTCTTCATGGAAATACCCATAATTTCCACTTGACAATAATATTCTATTGATGACTGTATGGAGAGGCAAATGACAAGCAAGAAGAAAACCTTTATAGAACATTGAAAAACAAGGGTAAACTACTCTTCAATATTGCCAAATATCACTATGGAAACTAAATATTGATTCCAACGATAGGCAAATATTGCTAGCGGGAATTTCTGGACAAAAACAAACAATACCTTCCGTAATACTCCCAAATATATAACAGATATCGTAAATACATCTATCTTATATCCAAGCTGACATTTATTGAATTCTGTATCTTTCTTTTAATAGCAAATATATTTTTTTAAAAATCTGGATTGGTTTGAAAGGAGATAAACTTTTACATCACAACAGCCTAGATTATGTATATTAAGACAATGTACTTCGATGATTGCATAACTGACACTTTTATAGTGCATTCACACTGAAATTCAATAACTTGCACAAAGTAGTATAACACATATCTGGTCACATTATATTAACAATGGGCTAAGCAGTTTTCCACAGCCAAGCAACAAATAAAGAGCATGATTTTAATGACTAGTTTGGCAGGCGTCATGAGGATGTATACTGTGGTTTTCCATGTAGCCATCATCAACACCAAACCTGGGATACAGTGTAAAGGGAGACATTTGGAAGAAAAAAGTTCTTCTGAGTAAACAAGGAGCATGACGTAGGACTGATTTTAATGACTACTTTGACATGTGGCATAGGGAGAGAAACTGTAGCCTTCCTCACTCACATAGCCACTCAACACTAACACCACATATGGGGTGTAGAGTAAGGAAAGACATTTGGAAGAAAAAAGTTCTTCTGAGTAAACAAGGAGCATGACGTAGGACTGATTTCAATGATTAGTTTGGCGTGTCATAGGGACAGAAACTGTAGCCTTCCTCACTCACATAGCCACTCAACACTAACACCACATATGGGGTGTAGAGTAAGGAAAGACATTTGGAAGAAAAAAGTTCTTCGGAGTAAACAAGGAGCATGACGTAGGACTGATTTCAATGACTAGTTTGGCGTGTGTCATAGGGACAGAAACTGTAGCCTTCCTTATCATAGCCACTTAACACTAACACAAAATGTGGGGTATGGTGCAAAGGAAAAAATCTCTTTCATGCTCGATAAAAATAAACAAAAAAAAATTTCTGAAACATGCATCCATGTCTGAAAAACAACAATAAACAAACATAAATCTCAAGCACAAGAAAACCATATTTTCTCAAAACCACCACAATCAATATAATTTGTTCTTATCTGTCAGTTGGGCTCCATCCTGAATCAGTATGAAATCTAATAATACCATTATATAAAGAAAGATTACCAAACACCTGTCACGTTAACAAGAAGCCAGACACTTGTTGAAGGTTTACAAGACTGATTATGTTACCCAATTCATCAACATTTCACATACCATCTAAATACGGATCGTCTTCTTCTTCCTCTATATTTGGCTTCGTCAGATTGTTGATTTCAGCAGCGTCCTTTTTATTGCTTGGAGTCTTGCTGGCGTTTTGTCTAGCCTCATTCTCAGACAGATCCTCAATCATTCCGACCACAGTTTTCCGAAGGTCTGGTTTAGCTTTTATGGTTGACGACACTGTGGGTAGGCGGATATCCATCCTGGCTCCTTTGGGAGATGTTACCTGGAGCGACACATATATCTTTCAGTTATCTTAAATATATCCAAAATCATCCCAAAAAGGCATCTAGCCTTCATGTCGCCAATTTAAATGATTATTGTGGCATTATGTGGTAAATGGTCAGTCCTAAAAGATTTAGTGTTAAATTATGTCTTGATGAAATTTTTACCTAATCTCTGAAATGTGTGATGTTTCTCCGCAATTTCAAATTCCATAAAGTAACGAATATTGAAATTGAGAACCAGGGAAAAAACTTTAATCATTTATCATTAAATTCTTACATCGAAATCTGGCGTGAACATAAATGATAATTTTAAAGTTGTATTTTCATGAGCCATCTAAAATCGGAAATCATCTGAGATGCTATTTAGCAGGTAATACACCTTTGGAAGATAATAAGCCCAGTAGTATTTTTTTGTTCACAACAGAATACCAACTGATGGGTTCTGTAATAGGTCCATCCTTCCCACTCCTGACTTCTGTCTTATAAATTATATCTCTCATACTCAATGAAATCTCACATGATAAAAAAGGAAATCACTTATCATTGCCAACCATCAGATTCTCTCTATGACAAGTTTCTCAATCCATACAACTTGTATACTGCAAAATCACATATTTTGTGAGGTTCAATTTTTCACGATTTTCAAAAGAGTACTATTTCAGGGACACTTAATAGCATGGATAAATAGATCTTAATAAATCTACTTACACTTATTTTAACTGTTCATGAACATATGAATTGGTGGATAAAGAATACCTATAAATTAAGTGAAAATAAAACTCCACCAAAATAAACTATTTTAAAGAATGTTAGATAATCAATATGACCCCTGGTTTTATAGTAGGATACAAGATCTAACTATTGGTTTATCTCAATATGAAAATTTACAAAGCAAATCTAGCAAAATTTTGAACAGTTATAAAGAATAACGATATTCCCTATTAAACAAAATTATTTCTTTTCAGGAAAATAATTTCTTTTCAGGAAAATAAATTAAAAATAATGCTGAAGGATAAATGAAGTTGAGATTACAAGAAAATCCAATTTCTTCATTACACTCAAGATAATAATATTTTTGTGAACATCAAATCCAGGTACTCGGATGGAATCATTATGTGGCACGATAACATTACACAGATGAGGGCTATGTTATCTTAATGTTTTTCCTATCAGAAAGCTAGAATACAAAATCAAACACAAAAACAGAATTAAAGACTATTAATCTTCAGAAATATCTTCAATATGTCCTTCTTGTTGAATTCAATTAAATTACATTAATGTACACTGTATTATCAGTCATTAATTTGCATCCGTGATCACAAATTCAAACTAAATACCACATGCTATAAAATGCATTTAGATACTGTTTTTGTGTTTTAACATTGTTGATTAAGTACATTTTTATGTTTACTCAATCTTTAAGAGCAATCCTTGGATAAACACATATTTGCATTTCAAATTTACATTTCCACTTCATTGAAATTTTCATGTCGCAACTTTAAAATTTGTATGCCATGTTTTTCTGATATTTATACACGCACAATATCCGAGTTATTGAAAGACTGTACAGCAGTTTTCCTCAGCATTATCTCAGGTCAGACCAAATCGTTTTCAGGGGGCCTTGATAGCTCATTCTTTGGTTTGTATAACAAGTAAAGATACCTGGTACAAGGTTCACCTCTCCCTATCAGTGGCAGTTTATGTTTCAAAGGAAGCCAAGAAACAGACCATTCTTGGCTGTCGTGGTTGTTTGTGTCCTTGGGCAAGTTTGATCTAATTGGCATTTAATGGGTCTCCTGTATGTTGTTCAGTGAGATAGCCACCATATGAATTTATAGATATTATAAACAGCATTCATTCTGTGACCTTCAGCTCTGAAGTTTATTTCAAAAAACCCGACTACTTCAGTTAGCCTTGTGTAGACTTTCATGTAGTTGATATCAAAATAAAAAATATGCTTGGGTTATTCTTCAGAGATTTCAAACATCACACGAGAAATACTGAAATATTCACCTCGATTATTTGAAAGAACTCACAACCAGAAATTAATCTCATAGAAACCATTGCAAACCTGTTTCCACATTTTCTGTGAACAAAATCTTACACACTGCAAAAATCATCATGGATGTTTTAATATCTATGGCTGAAATTGTAGATGAACAAAAACATACATCTGACATACATCAGATGATGTTTGGAATTGATAACAATCTGACGTGTCAGAGGCAATCAACTTCAGAACTCAGCACATAAGGCAATTGGTTTTTTTTTTTCTTCTTTTTTTTTTGTAAATTAATTGCAAAAGCCTCACAATTGAAATGGCATACCTTCACATTATGACCTAGCTGGGTTTTTTTTCTGCGTACACCTGGTCATTACCTTTCATGTTCAACATATATAGGAAATGAGTAGGATTGCAATGATGCTGAAAAGACAACTGTCTGTACAGGTATTGCTGAATTGATGATCCTGGGAAATTATCAGAAGCATGGCTAGCTTAAGTTAAAAAATAATGCTTGTGTCATATAAAACATATTTAAATTCAGGATAAAAACTATATGATAAAGATAAAAAAAAATTAGCTGTCAAAAGAGCAACATTCAGAAATTAAATATTTTTGTTATTTTTTGAAAATGTGATCCTATAAAGAAATAAAGATGACTTAAGCTTTTGAACACCTATTGGATTTCAATGACAGCTTTGATGAAGTAGAGTTTTCTAAGGAAGTTGCTGACCATCATGACTTGGGTTGATAGACAACATCAGGATATAACTGCCATTATCATCATGTCTATTTAAATACATGAACAGTCTACTCATCATTCACCAATTATGGCTTCAGAGTCTCGATGAAAATTATGTATATCCACATAATATAAATGTATATATACATATATGTTTGGTTGATTGTTAAAGTTCATACATCCACTTAACCAAACCAAACCTCTGGCCAATTCAATTTGTCTTTGCTACTTAATTTCAAATTTAATTTTAGCACTCATGCCACCAAATGCTGATAAAAGAATGAGACTTCTGATTTCTAACTTCTCTTTTTAATCATTAAATTTACAACCTACAGCTCTGACTATTATGATTGGCAATGAATATTCAGCCAGTGGTTTTTTTCTTTATTTTCTGAGCAATTGATTTGAATGAGACTGAGAGATCACTAAAAACCTTATAGGTTCCTTTTTGATTCATTGGCACCGGTCTACAGCACTCTCTTTCTTTGTTTATTGGTGTCCGTCTCCAGCACTCTATTTCTTTGTTAATTGGAGCCCGTTTTCAGCACAATCTATCTTTGTTAATTGGTGCTCCTCTCCAGCACTCTCTTTCTTTGTTAATTGGTGTCTGTCTTCAGCACTCTCTTTCTTTGTTAATTGGTGTCTGTCTTCAACACTCTCTTTCTTTGTTAATTGGTGCCTGTCTTCAACACTCTCTTTTCTTTGTTTGTTAATTGGTGTCTGTCTTCAACACTCTCTTTATTTGTTAATTGGTGTCTGTCTTCAACACTCTCTTTCTTTGTTAATTGGTGTCTGTCTTCAACACTCTCTTTCTTTATTAATTGGTGTCTGTCTTCAACACTCTCTTTCTTTGTTAATTGGTGTCTGTCTTCAACACTCTCTCTTTATTAATTGGTGTCTGTCTTCAACACTCTCTTTCTTTGTTAATTGGTGTCCGTCTTCAACACTCTCTTTCTTTGTTCATTGGTGTCTGTCTTCAACACTCTCTTTCTTTGTTAATTGGTGTCTGTCTTCAACACTCTCTTTCTTTGTTAATTGGTGCCTGTCTTCAACACTCTCTTTCTTTGTTAATTGGTGCCTGTCTTCAACACTCTCTTTTCTTTGTTTGTTAATTGGTGTCTGTCTTCAACACTCTCTTTATTTGTTAATTGGTGTCTGTCTTCAACACTCTCTTTCTTTGTTAATTGGTGTCTGTCTTCAACACTCTCTTTCTTTATTAATTGGTGTCTGTCTTCAACACTCTCTTTCTTTGTTAATTGGTGTCTGTCTTCAACACTCTCTCTTTATTAATTGGTGTCTGTCTTCAACACTCTCTTTCTTTGTTAATTGGTGTCCGTCTTCAACACTCTCTTTCTTTGTTCATTGGTGTCTGTCTTCAACACTCTCTTTCTTTGTTAATTGGTGTCTGTCTTCAACACTCTCTTTCTTTGTTAATTGGTGCCTGTCTTCAACACTCTCTTTTCTTTGTTTGTTAATTGGTGTCTGTCTTCAACACTCTCTTTATTTGAATTGGTGTCTGTCTTCAACACTCTCTTTCTTTGTTAATTGGTGTCTGTCTTCAACACTCTCTTTCTTTATTAATTGGTGTCTGTCTTCAACACTCTCTTTCTTTGTTAATTGGTGTCTGTCTTCAACACTCTCTCTTTATTAATTGGTGTCTGTCTTCAACACTCTCTTTCTTTGTTAATTGGTGTCTGTCTTCAACACTCTCTTTCTTTGTTAATTGGTGTCTGTCTCCAGCACTCTCTTTCTTTGTTAATTGGAGCCCATTTCCAGCACAATCTATCTTTGTTAATTGGTGCTCCTCTCCAGCACTCTCTTTCTTTGTTAATTGGTGTCTGTCTTCAGCACTCTCTTTCTTTGTTAATTGGTGTCTGTCTTCAACATTCTCTTTCTTTGTTAATTGGTGCCTGTCTTCAACACTCTCTTTTCTTTGTTTGTTAATTGGTGTCTGTCTTCAACACTCTCTTTATTTGTTAATTGGTGTCTGTCTTCAACACTCTCTTTCTTTGTTAATTGGTGTCTGTCTTCAACACTCTCTCTTTATTAATTGGTGTCTGTCTTCAACACTCTCTTTCTTTGTTAATTGGTGTCCGTCTTCAACACTCTCTTTCTTTGTTCATTGGTGTCTGTCTTCAACACTCTCTTTCTTTGTTAATTGGTGTCTGTCTTCAACACTCTCTTTCTTTGTTAATTGGTGCCTGTCTTCAACACTCTCTTTTCTTTGTTTGTTAATTGGTGTCTGTCTTCAACACTCTCTTTATTTGTTAATTGGTGTCTGTCTTCAACACTCTCTTTCTTTGTTAATTGGTGTCTGTCTTCAACACTCTCTTTCTTTATTAATTGGTGTCTGTCTTCAACACTCTCTTTCTTTGTTAATTGGTGTCTGTCTTCAACACTCTCTCTTTATTAATTGGTGTCTGTCTTCAACACTCTCTTTCTTTGTTAATTGGTGTCTGTCTTCAACACTCTCTTTCTTTGTTAATTGGTGTCTGTCTCCAGCACTCTCTTTCTTTGTTAATTGGAGCCCATTTCCAGCACAATCTATCTTTGTTAATTGGTGCTCCTCTCCAGTACTCTCTTTCTTTGATAATTGGTGTCTGTCTCCAGCACTCTCTTTCTTTGTTAATTGGTGTCTGTCTTCAACACTCTCTTTCTTTGTTAATTGGTGCCTGTCTTCAACACTCTCTTTTCTTTGTTTGTTAATTGGTGTCTGTCTTCAACACTCTCTTTATTTGTTAATTGGTGTCTGTCTTCAACACTCTCTTTCTTTGTTAATTGGTGTCTGTCTTCAACACTCTCTTTCTTTATTAATTGGTGTCTGTCTTCAACGCTCTCTTTCTTTGTTAATTGGTGTCTGTCTTCAACACTCTCTCTTTATTAATAGGTGTCTGTCTTCAACACTCTCTTTCTTTGTTAATTGGTGTCCGTCTTCAACACTCTCTTTCTTTGTTCATTGGTGTCTGTCTTCAACACTCTCTTTCTTTGTTAATTGGTGTCTGTCTTCAACACTCTCTTTCTTTGTTAATTGGTGTCTGTCTCCAGCACTCTCTTTCTTTGTTAATTGGAGCCCGTTTTCAGCACTCTCTTTCTTTGTTAATTGGTGTCTGTCTTCAACACTCTCTTTGTTAATTGGTGTCTGTCTTCAGCACTCTCTTTCTTTCTTAATTGGTGTCTGTCTCCAGCACTCTCTTTCTTTGTTAATTGGTGTCTGTCTTCAGCATTCTCTTTCTTTGTTAATTGGTGTCTGTCTTCAGCACTCTCTTTCTTTGTTAATTGGTGTCTGTCTTCGACACTCTCTTTGTTAATTGGTGTCTGTCTTCAGCACTCTCTTTCTTTCTTAATTGGTGTCTGTCTCCAGCACTCTTTTTCTTTGTTAATTGGAGCCCGTTTTCAGCACTCTCTTTCTTTGTTAATTGGTGTCTGTCTTCAACACTCCTTTGTTAATTGGTGTCTGTCTTCAGCATTCTCTTTCTTTGTTAATTGGTGTCTGTCTTCAACACTCTCTTTCTTTGTTAATTGGTGTCTGTCTTCAGCATTCTCTTTCTTTGTTAATTGGTGTCTGTCTTCAGCACAATCTATCAGCATTAACTGGTGTCCATCCCCAGCACTCTCTTTCTTTGTTTACCAGTGTCCGTCTTTAGCACAATCTATCTTTAATTGGTGTCCGTCTTAAGCACAATCTACATGTATCTTTGTTAACTGACTTTATCTCATGAAGTTTTAAAACCAAATATGACCAAGATCAAATTGTCATAAAGAAATTGACTTTTAAAAAAACAGCAGGAACATCCAAACATAAACATTTAGAAATATTATGTTTTTCCATTTTCTAAATGTTTTCAATATCATTAAACATATACCTTTTCATTCAGGGCATAGAGTTTGGTGGTGATGTCACGACCAAGCATGGCATTGATGACGTTCGCCAAATAAGGTTCCTTGATCAATAGGTACTCCAGGCCTTGACGTGGCCAGAAGATATAGCGACAGGTGGAAACAGCAAAAATAGACACCTACACCAAATATCAAAACCATATCAGTGCTTAATTCTGGACAATTCATGTAGATGAAAAGAAATTCATACCACTTTCACCAACTTCTATCAGAGTTAGCACCACTCTTGAAAACTGAAAAATAATTTAATGCAGTGAAGACCATGAGAGTGTTGAATCGTTCATCGATTAATACTTAGTCTATTTGAAAACTCAAATCTTTCTCTTAGTCACTGCTAAAAAGAAATTTAAAACCATGTACTATAGAATCATTCCTTTCTTTTTTTTAATTCCTATTTGAAATTTGTATTATGTACACACAAGTTTTAGCTTTACCTGATATTTTTCGTCTCCCGTGACTCCTGACTCGAACTCTGGAGAGTCAATGAACTCCATTTCCTGGATCTGGTGTAGCAAGTTGTGGTGATGGTACACATTCATTCTACAAAAAAAAATTCTTAAATCCTGCAAAAAATTTAATAAAATGTTTGTAAATTATATTTAAATAATTTACACTGACCTGATCATGACTTTGGGAGTCTCATAACTCATGAAAAAAATTTTTTTGTTCATCATCAAAGTTTTCCTAACCATGCTGACAAGTGACCTTGACCTTTGCCTTGATGACTCTGTTTAGTGCTAAAAGGTTCTTTAAATCAGAATTCGCCAAAATGGCTTGACCTTTCAACTCTAAAATACAAAGTTAACCCGGATACTTATTCAACTTTTGAGTCTATTACCACCTCGGAAAATTAAAATACTACTTTAATGACACAGATTTGGTTGACAATAAAAATATTAACAATAACCTTATATTTTCACATTGACGTGATACCCTTAAACAAATTATCTAAGATATTCATTATTAGCCAAACTATCTACGGTATTCTTTATTAGCCAAACTATCTAAGATATTCTTTATTAGCCAAACTATCTAAGATATTCTTTATTAGCCAAACTATCTAAGGTTTTTGTTATTAGCCAAACTATCTAAATTATTCTTTATTAGCCAAACTATCTAAGGTTTTTGTTATTAGCCAAACTATCTAAATTATTCTTTATCAGGCAAACTATCTAAGATATTCTTTATTAGCCAAACTATCTAAGGTTTTTGTTATTAGCCAAACTATCTAAGGTATTCTTTATTAGCCAAACTATCTAAGGTATTCTTTATTAGCCAAACTATCTAAGATATTCTTTATTAGCCAAACTATCTAAGGTTTTTGTTATTAGCCAAACTATCTAAATTATTCTTTATCAGGCAAACTATCTAAGATATTCTTTATTAGCCAAACTATCTACGGTATTCTTTATTAGCCAAACTATCTAAGGTATTCTTTATTAGCCAAACTATCTAAGATATTCTTTATTAGCCAAACTATCTAAGGTTTTCTTTATTAGTCAAACTATCTAAGGTATTCTTTATTAGCCAAACTATCTAAGTTATTCTTTATTAGCCAAACTATCTAAGATATTCTTTATTAGCCAAACTATCTAAGGTTTTCTTTATTAGCCAAACTATATAAGGTATTCTTTATTAACCAAACTATCTAAATTATTCTTTATTAGCCAAACTATCTACGGTATTCTTTATTAGCCAAACTATCTAAGATATTCTTTATTAGCCAAACTATCTAAGGTTTTTGTTATTAGCCAAACTATCTAAGGTATTCTTTATTAGCCAAACTATCTACGGTATTCTTTATTAGCCAAACTATCTAAGATATTCTTTATTAGCCAAATTATCTAAGGTTTTTGTTATTAGCCAAACTATCTAAGGTATTCTTTATTAGCCAAACTATCTAAATTATTCTTTATTAGCCAAACTATCTAAATTATTCTTTATTAGCCAAACTATCTAAGATATTCTTTATTAGCCAAACTATCTAAGGTTTTTGTTATTAGCCAAACTATCTAAGGTATTCTTTATTAGCCAAACTATCTAAGGTTTTTGTTATTAGCCAAACTATCTAAGGTTTTTGTTATTAGCCAAACTATCTAAGGTATTCTTTATAAGTCAAACTATCTAAGGTATTCTTTCTAAGCCAATTATGCATCATCAGTTACTACTGGTATCACTTTCTATCACTTTGTTCTTGACATTTAATGAATGGCTGATTTTCTATACATAACAGGTAACCTCTTGACCTTTGAACCAAATATTTCTGGCACAACATCATATATAAGAGCTTTGCCAAGGAATTAACCACACTGCAATGCTAGCAAGTAAAAATTTACAGAACATAAAACTGTTATCATGCGGTCAAACCTTAAATTTTATACAATCAATCTTCATATTGCTTCAAAGTGACAAGTCATCTCTAGCGTTACAAGTCAGTTGCGATTTCATGACTGATCATCAGATCAACTGTACCGAGCAATGATCCTCTTATAATTAATTATGACAAGGACATACATCTCCATTTTACAATATGTTGATAATATCGTACATAAACAAAAAAGAATTTTAAAGTTCGAGCATTATGGATTCCATGTGTTCTAGCTCAGAAAGTCATGAAGAATGGACTCAGCCAGTTTGATTAGATATGTACCATATGCATTGGAATATAATGTTTATGAAGCAACAATGCTGACATGTCTTGTTCAACTAGGTGCTTGATCATTTCCTAATGTTCATTGAAAGGATAAAAAAGTTGAGACTTTTTTTCTGCTAAAAACCTGAATGTCACTTTTTAGATTGTAGTCAATTAATTAGTTAATTGGTGTAAAAACCCAAAACTCAACAAAGTCAATTAAGCGGAACATCACTAGCCATTTCAGTCCGATCATAATCAGAATACTGCAGCAATGTAAAGTAAAAACACATTCCTGATCCCATAGTACAGAAACATTACAATCACCAATATTTTTTCATAATATGTATATCTACAGTTAACAAACAATAATTTGACATTAAAAAGCATATATCTCACACCAGTGATATATACTTGGCATCGATTATTAGAAATGTCACCCTGGTGAGTGAAAGGCCTGTTATACATTAAAATGACCTTACAAGTTTTTAATAGCAGCAATAGAATATATCCCCAAGTCAATCAAACACTTCAATAACCCACCATTAGGAATTCAATCAACGTGGAATTTTGACTCCTAAACGACACCTGATCATGTTACCATTATAGCTAACCAAATCAGTATTTGTGTTTAACATTCAAAGTCTCTCCAGCTGTGATTTTAGCGGACTCTCAGTTAAAGGCTGCCATCAACATATCTACCATATTGGGATAATCTCAGACACTGCAGCATGCACAAAGGCTTTTCATAATCCCTCACAAAGGTAAATCTCTATTGGCCATTTGCAATATCATGGACATTAGCAAAAATGGCTATGATGATGATGCTGCTTAATGTATAGAAGAAGTTTTAATATGATCTAGATCATAAACTACATCACCAATGCAATTGTACAATACTTTCCCAGATACCACATTATAATACCCATCAGTCTTTCATCTGAAGCCAATTTTAATGTTTATCTAAAAATTTTCCATGTTTGTCAACCGCAAAAATAATAAAAAAGCACTGATATATAATGATGATTTTATGTTTTAGAATACACATTATTTACAAGAATCTTACAACATTAACAAGAGAAGCCAGCCAGACAATAAGTACCTATCCATTCTAATTTTGCATTTGTTGTTTTAGTAGTGGTTGAAATATTTTACTGAAAGGTAATGTAGATTTTCACTTTCAGAACATTGACCTTTAACCTTCAGCTAGATAGTTGGTTGTAATGATGATATAACTGTATATCAGACTGAGCAGACTCACACCACAAAGAGTCTATTCAGCATCAATTCAACCAATTCGACTTAATATTGAGGTTTTTTAATGTAAAACCAATTTTCATGATGTAATACTTACCATAACTTTAGTATGCAAATACAGTACCTACACCCATCTTTGTATCCCAACAACAAAAGATTCAAAAGAAAAACAATCCCGCCCTCCCTACGATCCATGAGCCATCACGGCAGGAACGCAGAGTGATCTCCCTTCCTCTAATAACCTTTATGGCGTAAACCCCACAGAGGGGCAGCCAGGCAGATAAGGAAGAGGGGAGGATAGGGTGGGACTCCATAAAGTTATGGTAAGTATTACATCATGAAAATTGGTTTTACATTAAAAAACCTCAATTTCATTTCAGTAATAATTACCATAACTTTAGTATGCGAATTCGTCTTACCGTAGTGGTGACTAGAAGCCAGGCAGCCCCTTCAGCACAACCAAAGTAGTAGGGAGGGAGAACAGAGTGCTAAAGTGAAGGAAGGGACCTCTCTGTGAAAGAGAAGGTGTACCCACATGCTGCCGTACGGAAAGACATGGCCCGGGGCTAACGAGGAGGCCCAGCCACTGACTATGCCACCACCAAAGGTCCCAATGAATACAGGCCTTCTGAGTGGGAAGCTAGGGATCACAGATAAAAATCTGTGAAGGTATCCCTGCCCTGCCAGAATACTGCAGACATGACCTCCTGAAAGGAGGACTCATTGAGAGAAGGGCCCAGGATGAAGCAAGGGCCCTGACCTCGTGAGACCGCGCTTTCGCTCTCGCCCGAGCCAGATCATCAAAATGTTCGTAAGCATACTAAATCACCTGGCAAACCCACCTGGAAACCGACTGGGAGGAGATATCTCGTTGTCCCTGTTTAATGGGCAAAACAGACGGGATCGAGAGCCCCCCCCCCCCCCTGGTTTTATCAAGATAAAACCTAAGAGCCCGACAAAGACAAAGCAACCTATCTCGCTCCTCCGAGCTAGTCACAGCCAGGATCCTGATGGGATCGTGCGAGAACCCCGGAACCTGATTCTTCGCTAAAAACAACTCTATTCATAGCAAAGCCTCTGATTAGGGCAGAAAGAGAGGAGGACTAACCGATCTCCTTCCTTAGGAAGTCCGCAATCAAATGCAGAGGCTTCGAATGAATAAGCTTCCTTGCCGACACACCAATCACAGAAGATCATCCAACGTGACTGGTAGACGGCAGAAGAGGAAGCCCTGATTGACTGCTCAATGCAATCTGACACCTCTTGAGAAAAGCCTGCCTTGGCGTGGCTTCCAGAGATAGCCTCAACGCGTGAAGGTGGAGGATCTCTGGTCAAGAGTGTGTCGTTCTGGGCCAAGGCTGGCGAAGGAGATTCGGTCTGGTGGGGAGAGCCAAGGGCTCCTCCACCAGAAACGACAAGAGCTCCTGAAACCAAGCTTGCCTCGGCCACAGAGGGGCTCTCAGAAGTAAGGAGCAGTGATGCTACCAGAACTTCTGTAGAACCCTGCCCACCAGGTTGAAGGGAGGGAATGCATATGCATACGTCCCTTCCTATTCCAGAGAAAGGGCGTCCACAGCCCACGCCTTACGGTCTGGGACCAGGGAGACGAAGGTTAGCAGCTGGTTGTTCAGGGAAGTGGCAAACAGGTCTA